CCTGGAGACAATTTGTTCTTTAAAATCTGGTTTTGCTAGATACTACCTTGCAAATTCCCCCCCAAAATGTATAGCCATACAAGCCGACTCCCTCCCTTACCTAAACTAACAAATAAAACCCCTCTCCTCTTTCTCCAGGTTGCTCAGCCTTGGAGTATTAAGCCCGCTGAGAAGCGCCAGCGCTAATAAACCGCTACTTCCTAAGATAGCCTCGGTGTCACAGTCTCTCTGTTTTCCTGCAACACCAGCACTGGCCTTTCCTAGCAATAGTAACTGCTGTGCGTTATTATTAGGGAAGGGAAGGCACATCTGCCTACATAGGCAACACTGTAGCAGGGCAATCTCTGGAAATGGGAGCAAGTTATATGTATGTGTGCGTGTGTACGTGTGTGTGTGTGTGTGTGTATAAATGTATCATGTAGGTGGGTGTGTGTGTGAAATGGGTGATGACTGTGTGTCTCTCCTATAAATGAGGGGTTTGCTGTCCTTGACTGACTTCCCTACTTTGTTGGTCCTAGACATTCTAGTCTAGCCCATGGGGACACAGTGCCCCCCTGTGGTTGCCTGGTTCTTAGTAACTTTTCCAGGTTCATTCCTAAGGCTCCCTCCCTGTCTTACAGCCCATTGTTCTTTGTGGTTCTGTGCAGTAGCTGTATTGGGAGGTCCTGATATCATGACCCGCTGCTACTATCCATCCTCAACATCAGAGCACAGAGGCTCAAGGGAGAGGTGGGGTGATTTTATAGAAGCTGAACCACAAACTCCCTACTTTTTGTCTCTGCTTCAGGTTTCTCCCCTCATTCTCAAGGAATGTCAGTTTTCCCAGATTCTAGGGATTGAAGCCGAAGATAACTAAGAGAAGATTCCATGAGAAAGAGAATAAAACCAGAGGAACAGGATGAAAAGAGTCTTATGGTCCAGATTGATAATTCTGGATTTTAGAGGGTTTATCTCTGAAGCTACATGCAAAACAGTGAGACTGTAGTAGAAGGGATAGATGTTAAACATTAAGGAATCCTTTGATGGTTAGGGAAAGTACTAGAGTGGGAGATGCCATCTTTCTAGAGAGATTTTAGGGTTAACTAGAACGGGAGAGTTCAGGGTGTGGCGAGGGAAAACGGTTCCCTGAGCAATGTCATATGTTTGTACCCTCTATCATCACTAACAGCAGAATTTCCTCCAAACTGTTAAGCATATGGTAAAAGGAGCATGCACTCTGTGTTTGACATTCAACAAATCTAAGGACAGAAATTCAGAACACAATTAAAAATTTAAAAAAGTTAGACCTGGCACAGTGATTCACACCTATAATCTCAGCACTTTGGGAGGCTGAGGTGAGTGGGATTGCCTGAGCCTGCGGGTTCGAGACCCGCCTGGGCAACTTGGTGAGACCTCATCTCTATAATAAATCAAAAAATTAGCTGGGCATGGTGGTGTATGCCTGTAGTCCCAGGTACTTGGAAGACTGATGTGGAAAGATTACCTGTGCCCAGCAGGCCAAGGCTTCAGTGGCTGTGAGCATGCCACTGCACTTCAGCCTGGGCGACAGAATGAGACTCCAACTCAAAAAAAAAAAAAAAAAATCTACAACTGGTGTTTTGTAAGCATTCCCATAGACCAGTGTCTGGGGGTATCATCCTTCTGCACCTCTTTGCTTCACCCTTGCCAGTGGCAATGGTTTCCACCCTCAGGTCACTGGGAGGAATGTGAGGGTGCAAGCTGGTTGTCACATACATTCCAACTCACTCAGATCTGGCAGTTGCTCCTTGTATACTATCAGACCAGGACCAGGAGTGAGGGACTGCTTCCTGCTGTGAGGGTGACAAGACACTCTAACACTGTCTTTCAAGGAGGGGCGAAGTAGCACAGATTGTCTTACAAGCTTTCTGGAGCTCTTTGGCTTTTGTTCCTGGATGTGTCTTATCCTCATGTGTTGATATCTGACTGACCACTCACCGTGCTCCAGCATATTCCCTAAACTCTGATTTTTCCTCTATGCTATTCCCCATCTCTCTGTCTTCACAAATTGACACCCTATCAGTGCAATAGTCAAAGGAAGCTCTCAGCAAGGAAAGCAAAGATGGGGAGATTCAAAGGGTGACTTCAGAGAAAAATTCATGGGTGGCAGAAATGGAAAGCTGGCTCTAGGAAGAAGGGCTGCTGGAGGCCTCATTCTTCTATTTTTTAATCTTTTTAAGTATATTGAAAAATACATGTGTGGAGTAGAGAACGAGGGGTGGAAAGGAGGATGGGGATTGTGGATACTTGATAATTGTCCCACATAAACTCTCTCTTGACTATTCCAACTAGGTTTCCCTCATCCCTTTTTCTGTTCTACATGTCTTCCTTCCTATTTTATTTTTCAGCTCTCATAATTTTTGATATCATCTGTTACAACCTGTCTATTAGGACTGAGTGAATCAAGGCTTACTGCTGAATCCGGTTTCTAGTCACCATGCCCCAGCTGGCTCAGCTCTCCCTCCAAGATGGCATAGTACTGGTACAGAAATAGGCATACAGACCAATGGAACAGGACAGAGATGCCAGAAAAAAACAAAACAAACAAACAAAAAAACAGTCCCTCAACCAACTCATCTTCGACAAAGCCATCAATAACAAACATTGGGGAAAGGAAATCATATTTAGTAAGTCGTGCTGGAAAAGCTGGGTAGCCACATGCAGAAGAATGAAAGTGGACCCCTACCTATCACCGTATACAAAAATCAATTCAAAATGGATCAACCTGGGCTTGTTGGCTCAGCCTGTAATCCCGCGCCTTTGGGAGGCTGAGGTGAGTGGATTGCCTGAGCCCACGGGTTCGAGACCCGCCTGGGCAACTTGACAAGACCTCATCTCTACAATAAATAAAAAATTAGCCGAGTGTGGTAGCGCACACCTGTAGTTCC